ATCACAAAATATAATTCTTAGTCAAATTCTTCAGAGAGGTTTCAAAAAGAGGACGGCTTTTGAGATGAGTCCTAAAGGGTGAGTTAAAACAAGCTTAGTGAGTGAGAAAGGGGAAACGTAGAAGATGGAGATAAGAGGCGGGAAAGGCATGGCAATGGAAAAGGTATCAGCTATGGAAATGAGAAAACATTTTATTGGAAGTCAGGCCAGTTTATTGAGAAAGCAAAATATGCACTTCCCTGAAAACATGCCTGCTGTCTATATTCTATAGAAAATATGAAAAATAAAACTCACTGCCATTGAGTTAATGCTGACTCACATTGACCCTGTAGGACATGGTAAAACTGCCTCTGTGAGTTTCTGAGACTAGTTCTTTATGGGATTAGAAAGCCCTCTTTTCAAGGAAAGTTTGGGTCTTTTAGTAATCAAGCAACAGCAATTTACTTGTTTTATTTAGAAAAACTATCTAACAACAAAGTAGATCTAGATTTCCATATAATATAGGGGATGGGACATTTGCCCCTGTCCAGCTCCAAATAATCCAAAACATAAATGAAAATATCTGAAAATAGATTCATTCTTCCAGAAAGTATGCATGATTGTTTATTTATATCTGATGTGTACATGTCAGGCACATAATATTTTATTGGTGGAAGTCAATGTAAAAAACAAAACAAAACAAAAATCCCATATTTTTTTCCCACAGGAGGAAATAAAAATAAATATGTATGAGCTCCATCTCATAGGGAAATCTCTTATTATCAACTATTTTCCACCCAGTATTTTAGTGAGAATGTCAAGTAATATATAGACCAATGATCAAGAAATTCATTTTAAGGGCCTTCCATATGGCAGTGCAATCAGCCTGAGTAAAAGAGGCCATATTCCAGGAAATGTCTTTAGTTTTAATAGGCAGGACCAGGGAAAAATGTAACACATGAAATGAAAGAGTTAAGGAATTCAGACTGCACTTCATTTCTAACCAGGATATCCAAGTTCAACATAGAAAATAATGCCAGAAAATTGCCGATTGAATGCTCTCCAAAGAAGATACAAACACAGGGGCCATGGCATGACCCTGTGAAAATAAAATTTATTGAGTATCAGGTTCCTCATAAAAATGATAATAATGTGATAGTATAGACATCTAAATATTATGACAGCTGTTCATGTTCTCATAGAAATAAGATGCAAATTATCAGTTGAGAATTGGGGCAGTGGAGGAAGTAGTAAAGATGTAAGACAGCTAAAGGTCGGAAAGAGTCAAGGAGGACAGTTGTTAAGAGAATGGAGTGAACAATTGAAATAGGATTGTCAAGGTCAAGTTGAAGGTAATAATAATGAATATAAATTTGGACCAGCAGGTATTATTTGTGTGCTTCCTTTAAGAATTCTAGTTGTATGAAGCAGGTATGGAGTTGTCCAAATTAGATTTAATGAAGGGTGTGGTCTGGAAAATTAATAGAGAGAGAAAATGGAGCAAGAATGTGATTACTTTGATGAGTCACTATACCAAAACTGGGATGAGAGCAAAGATACATGAATACATCATAGGATTAAGAGATTTTAGGATACATCCTGGTATCAAAGAGTTGAGAACTGATAATAATGATGGAGTTTAAATATTGTTAGCTTGAAAGGTAGGAATAGATACTTCCTGATGTATGTATGAAACTGAAATTATTGAAGAGATATAATTGTTAACAATGATAAGTTATAGGAATGACATATGTAATCACGGGAGTATATGGTAAAAATAGAACGTGGGACCATACATTCAGAAATGAACTTGAACCTATTGATACTCTTTGACTGTTAATCTTTGGTCTTACTAGCTGCTGGATATTCTAGCCATCACCTAGCATTAAATGCAGTCTTGATATATATCAATGTTTACAAAAAATTTACAGTTGTTTCAAATTTTCTACATGATTTAATACTCACAGAACTCATGATGGGTAAGAGTGTAGACCCAATTATAGTGAAAATAAAATTGACATTTGGTAAGAGTAAAGGACTTGAGGAAGATGATAGTTAGCAAAGTGGCAAGGCCAGATCTTAGACTCTTAGATATTGCTGGTGCTATTTAAGGCTATTTATCTAAATATTAATACTAGTAAAGAAGTAAGAAAATCTTAAATAAACAAACATGTGCTTGCAACTTATAATGCAATCTTTTCATGCCATTATTCCTCCATTGATGGTGGCTATCATTTACAATTGGAATTAAAGAAGAGCCATGACTCTATTTAAAGAAATACACTTTTAATGTATAAGTATTGAAAAGATCGCCTATGTTTAATAGTTGTTTTTTTACAACGTGAGCTAACATTTGCATACTATCAGTGATTATAGATAATCCAAGTTCTTGAAAATCTGGCTGAAACATCTAGACTTGACTTTGTAAACAATACAGAAATCCTGAGGGGTCTGTTAAAAAATGATGTGATTAGAATGGTTCATTTGAAAGACTGGTTTGTGTTTACAGGCCCAATTTATTGAAATCCGGCGAGACAACCAATAAAACAAGAAGCTAAAAATCAATAATGGCACTGAAGGCAGAGACAGGTAGTACCTAGGTTTGAGAGTATTAGTGGAAAAAGGAAGGATGAGATGGATACCGGATTTATGAAGAAGAAACAATGAGCATGATTTGGTGACTAATTGTGATATATGAATGAAATAAGCATCAATTTTGAATTTTATCAGAAAATAGTTTTGAGAGTAAAGAGAATTTAGATATGTTGATTTGGGGCATATTACACAGTACTCACTTTGTAATACTTGCTGTGTTTTTATTTTATCATTTTTAATTAGTAAGACATTAAATGAATATATTATATGAAATCATTTCCTAGTCAGTTTTGCTTAATGTTACATGTATACATGTATTTGTATCTAAAGTATTTTGCCCATGTTCTCAAGAAATTTATAATTTATTCACTAGAATATGATTGGCAATGTAAAAATCAGAATGTAGAATGATATATGTTTATAAATGGACTATGTGCAAGTCATACACATGATTTCACATTTAATCAAATAGTTGAAAGAAGTAAGTCATCAACAACAAGCACAAGTGTAAAGGAAGAAAGAAGAGAAGAGTCAGCAAGTCTGAAACTAGCTGCTATAGATAGAAAAAGATACCTCCTAGCCCATGCTTCAGGAGTGGCACCTTCAGTTAAGAAAAAGAGCCCTGTGTTACCTGCAGGCATATCATGTCGGGGTGTAGAGCTTAGCAACTAGGACATAACTCACCAGTAGCTTAAAGTTCAAGTAAGAGAAAAAGTTTGCACATGTGCAGCCAGAAATGGTATCCCAAAGTCAGAAAATCTCTCACTTTTCTCCGAGCCCTTCCCCTTTGAAATGTTATAAAACTGAAGATTAGAGTTACTGTGATATCCCATCTAGACATAGAATTGCTCATCATGGCATGAAAAATGGAAAATATTGCACCCAAAAATCCATGTTTATTTGTTTGATTTTTAATTTATTTTGTGTTTATATTTCTTTAAAAAAATTTGGATAAAGTCTAGAATTAAAATCGTTTAGAGATTTAATTTAGGGCATAAAGAGACCTGAAAATTATGATAATGTATATGTATGGCACTGTAAATGGACTTTTTTGATGAATCTTTGTTGTTGCTGTTCTTTCCAGATATGATTTTAATAGCATTATACGTTTTGGATGAATCAATATTCTGCACATACTTCACGGGATCTCCAAATAATTTATTTTTACTCATTAAAGCTGAAATACACACTGCTGTATTTCTACAATATTCACTTGCAAAGGCCATAAGCCTGCCCTGTTGGCTCTTGCCCAGTACCATTAGTAAGGCATAATTTATGTAATCTACAGTACTCTCTTTTTTTTTTTTTAGCTCTAGCAAATGAGGCACACTTGACTTTTCACAAACGTTAAAAATCCTTACATAAATATTTGATATCAGAACAAAAAATTGCATTAATGTCATTTAGTTCAAACAAGTCTGTTTTATGTAAACTTTATATATGTACATGTGAATATATATATATACATATATACGATTTAGTGGTTTTTTTAATTACTTCTCTGAAAATATCCACATATGCTTATTTTATGAAAGATCAAATTGTTTTAAGTGTAATATTAAAAAGAGAATGAAAGTGGGATACAGAAATCGCTTCCAATGATTAACTTGTCTCTAAATCTTGACGTTTAAAGTGAGAATTCATGACCTTTTTTTCTGTCTATTTTTGTCTATTTTCTTGTTTTATCTTTTGAAAAATAATTAGAGGATTTTTGTATTTTATAGTAAAGTCCAATGTATACTACTTTATTAAGTTTGACCATAGTAATATATTGATAAAATTAACTAGACAGAAAGATTTTATGGAGATGTTATGTATAGGAATTAAGACATTCATATTTTATTTAAAAGTAGATTTTATTTAAAAAAATAAATAAATGACCTTAAATTAATAGTTTTCAGTGATATTTTTTTAGTAAAACAATTATAAAACATTCATCTCCAATTATCAACACAATTTAAGTAAACAGAAAGATAGTAAATTTCACATTGTTGCAAGAGATTACTATTTATACTAATGACTCAGTAAAAACTCACTTTATTATCATATTTTAGTTATATTCATATTATCTCTATTTTTTGTTTCTCTTCTACACATACCTATACACATGCACCCACACATGTGAACCTTTTTCCCATGAGCCCTTAAAATATAAACAATATTTTGTACAGCAAAGATCAGAAATGGAACTATTCCTTCAATGAATTATAATTAAACTTGAATAGTTTGCTGTGAATAGGTAGTGTGATTAGAAAATGAACCTGTGTAAACTTTGTTCGACTGTTTATGAAAATTCTGTGATGTAATATATATTAAGCACTATAGTTAATATTTTCATTTATTCCTAATTCTCAGAACATCATAATTCTTAATGATAATTATCCACATTGCTTGCATTATATTCAACTGTATTTGTACCTTCATAGATGTGCCATCTAGTCCTTATGGAGTGAAAATTGTAGAACTGTCACAGACCATGGCCAAGGTTTCCTTTAACAAACCGGACTCCCACGGAGGTGTGCCTATTCACCACTATCAAGTCGATGTCAAAGATGTGGCGTCAGAAACCTGGAAGATAGTACGCTCCCATGGAGTTCAAAGTGAGTCAGCAATTTCAAAATGTGTTCATTTTAAACATTGCTGTATGATTAGCATTTTCTTTTCCTTCAACATTTTTTTAAGATGACTTAGGAAGGCATTTCCACTGTTCTTACTTTAGTGACTAGAATTAAGGGTGATTTTTAAGAATGACATTAATAAAGAGTAGTAAAGTTTTCATCTTTAATACAGATTAAAAAGTACAAAAGATTCACCAAAGTTTAATTCTGAAAGGAAATTATATTTATACTTGTAATTAATGGCTCTATATAATAAATATGTTTTCCATTTATGTCATGTCATAATTATAAATGCATGGCTTTACAAATGTATTTATACCTCTATCTATAAAATTACTATACTAAAACTTATTTCAAAAAATAGATTTTAGAAACCTAAACTTTAAGATCAATTATGTCATTTTAAATAATAGGCTTGGCTTACTATTTAAATTATTATTTATTATTATTTTTAGACATGGAACTAATTTTAAAAACTCTTCTTCACATATTTAAGAATTGTTTACAATGTATTATGGTTTTTCATTATAAGAAGACATTAAAGCAGGAAATAATTCTTAAAACTTAGTAGATTAACAGAACTGCAGTTAGTGGTTATGTTAGGATTCTCTAGAGAAACAAAACCAGGACAATTATGATTTTGTATATACTTATATAGATATATATGTAATATAAGAAATAAACAGGTAATTATAGAGCAGCACAAATGGCTCTGTGCAACTCACTTCCATGAGACAGCTAATATACTGGTCTTGAGGGTCACCAGGTGTAAGTCAAGGAAGCAGACAGCTGGAATCCTTTGTACACCAACTCAGGTTATCTGGTCACAGGCAGCAAACAGCAAGGTAGGTCACCAACAGTCAGCCAGATGACAGGGTCCGACGTTCCCCAGTTCAAACAATGTATACTCCATTGGCAACACAGGTCTTGAAGGAACCTCAAAGTACAGCGACACAGTCCATGGGATGGGTGTCCCACAGGTAGTGTAGCTTGCAAATTGAGACAGAGAACAAGCTAAAGCAGCCACACACTGGTCTGATCATCAAAGAGCCAGAGACAAGAAAGGTAAGACTCGCTGAGCCATTTATCTTTCCGCCCTTCAATTAATCCCATATGTATTCATTGGCCAGGTTGGCACAATAAAACTACCTATCACAGTGATCCAGAGTGACATAATTAGTAAAGGAATTCTTATAACAGTTTCCCCCAAATGCTGGTCTTACCTTGACCCTAATACATATAGTATAAGTGAATCTTGTAAAGAAGGGAATCCACCCTAGAGAACAGTGTAAAAAAGACAACATCATTCTTTTACCCTGGTTTGGCATCTTCTTGTTTACTTTTAACTGAGAACAAGTACTGGTTTCTGATAGAAGTGTCAGAAACATTACTCAGGCAGTATCAATTGTTTAGTACCAATATTCTATAATACTAGGACAGTGGACCTATTACTATGTATTTTTCTGGCAATTGTGGAAACACAAACACAAAATTGTTTATTAGACAATTTTTCTACAAATAATACTTAAACATGTTGAGTGAGTAGAGTTTAGGGCTAGTAAGGGAAAGCAGTATCATTTTAAATGCAATATCTTTTTATGAGAGAAAACAAAAGATGGAAGGTTGAAAAATAGATATTTTTTCATGAAAATGTAGAAGAGTTCAAATGAGGATTGTAACACAACCATGAAAAATGGTTCACTCTGAACATAATAAAATGGAAATATGGCAGCAAACATGATCACACTGCAACAAAGTTTATAGGCATTCTCTGAAGAATTCTTATAAAGTTGACCATATTGAGAGACTTTATAATGATCACTTGATCTGGGCATGTTTATCAAGTTCAGTAATTGGGCTATCTCTCAGAAACACCTCATTAATCGTGTTTATAAGATATATAAATAAGGCAAATTTGTTAATTTACAATGAGGAATCCAAAATTATGAAATCCAGATTGCTTTAAAAGTGCCTTAACCCATAATTCTCAGTAGTTTGGCAGTTTTAATGCAACCATCCTTCATGGTAAGATCTAATATAATATAATCATCAATATGACGAATCTGCTATGAACAAATAATCAATTGAAAAGGGGTTTCCTCAAGGTTGTGGCTTGCTTCTACAACTGGGGTATTCTGTAAAGATCTACTTTTTACTGGAACTGAATTACATTAAGGTTGGACATTAGTGAATGGCATCCGATATTACCTGTTGATCCTGGAATTCCATACTTTCTGCTGCCCGTGAGTCAATAGCCTGCCCTCTTACCTGCTGAACTCATATGCAGTGACCTTCCTTTTAATCTTAGATAAATTGGATAGTGCAGCTGTGTAAGTCAGCAGTCTCTGACCTGCCATCTGACTAGGAAACTGTCAACCTCTTCAACTCTGTGAGCAATTTCCTTGAGATGCCTATCTTTATATATACATATTTAAACTTCACTGCTTTTGCTTTTCTAGAGAACTTACCCTAAGGCATTTGGTACCAGGGGGCGTTTTAGAAATACAACATTTTAATGATGAGCTTTATAAATTGAATATAAAGTCTGAGTAATCAAAAGGCACTGATAATTCTGCTTCTATCATTTAAAAAGATAATGATAACTCATGGTCAAGGTGGCAATATTATTATGCTAAATGTCACTACCAGTAAATCAAATTATTGGTGCGAAGTGAAGCACTACGTGATTTCATGTTTGATGTGCATATGTAATTTTTTTGTCAGAATGAAAAGTAGAGGGATGCTTGAACCTACTTGGAAAAATAAGATGGTGAAAAAAAGATGCAAGCTAATGGATTTGCAATCATGGCTGAAGAGCCACATACAAGACTTCAATGTTGCCAGATGGTCCATGAAAGAATATTAATAGAGCTTATACTGCCAAAACCAAAACCCAGAGTCTTATTATAAGACTGGCTAAATTGCAATGTCAGTTGGTTTCCCACTTCAAGTCATATGTTTAGTTTAAGTGAGGAAACTGAGCAGAACAGAAAGGGATCCTAAGTATCTAACATGTAGTTATTGATCAGGCCAATCCCTTTTTCTGTTTCTACTTCAAACGATCACCAGACACAAGTTATTTTCAGTTGGCAAGGACTATATCACACCTTTACTATCCTACCACATGTACATATCAGTTCTCCAGCACAAGTCAAAATTAAGTTTATGGATCCCAATCACCTTTTCCCATCACATTAGCTTCATTGCATTAATGATATTAAGCTGTTGAATATAGTAAAAAAAAGTCTCATTTTCTCTCATTAATTAGTAAGACATTTGTATGCTAGAGGGTGGGAAATTAACCTAACGAAAATGCAAGCACCTCCACCTCAGTAAAACTTCTAAGAGTTGAGCTGTAAAGCATGTTGAAATATTTCTTCCAATGTGAAGGATAAGGTATTGTATCTGGCTTTCCAATGACTAAAATGGAGCACAAAGCCTTTTTTATTTCTTTCAATTTTGGAATATCTCATTGGGATATGATACTTAAGCTTAGGGGGGGTTATTTAAAATGCTGTCAATTTTTATTGGGGCCAAAAGCAAAGAAAGGCTCTGCAGCAGGTTCATCAGGCTGCTGTGCAAACCTTTTGGGCCACTGATCTGGCTGATTCAGTGGTGCTTAAAATTTCAGTGACAGATAGAGACGTTGTTTGTAGTCATTGGCAATCAATCATTGGAGAATCAAAGTGAAGACCCATTATACTGTTGCCATTTCCTGCAGATGGTTTTTCCCCTTTTGAGGAGTAGCTCAAAGTTTTTAATGGGCCTTAGTATATACTGAACACTTAACTATTACCACCATGCGCTAAGTGTTATATGATTCTTGGAGTCATAAATTTCATGTTCTCCGCAGTACTCAATGATTAAGTAGAAATGGTACATATAAGATCATGCTCCACCAAGACTTGAAGAGAACAGTAACATGAAGAAGTGACCCAAATGTCCATGGTCTTAACTTTTGCAACATCACGTTCTGTCTCTGCTTCTACAATTATGGCCTCCTGGGAAGTTCCTTATTATCACTTGACTAAGAGTGAGTGCACATATAATTGTTATATATGAAATGCAGGCACCGCTCATAAGTAGACAACAACATCACTGTATCTACTTTTTTTGTGTCCTTACTGAAGGATAGTTGTGAAGAGAAATCCAGTGATCAGACTTGTGCATGGAAGGAGGTATAGCCATATCTGTGTTTGTATGCTAACAATGTCTGTAGCCAATGGTTAAGCTAAATAATCAGGAATTGGGCCTCTACTCAAGTACTCCCTCAATTCAAATGATATAGTGTCTGGGGTCTTAAAGGCTCGAATATAAACAAGTGGTCATCTAACTGAGAATCAACAAAGTCCACATGGAAGAAACACACCAGCCTGTGTGATCATGAAGTGTCAATAGGATCATGTATCAGGCATCAAAGACCCAGAACAAAAAACCATGCCACTGTGAATGAGGGAGGCAGGTGCAGAGTGGAGACCCAAAGTCCATCTTCAGGCAATTGAACATTTCCTTACAGAAGGTTCGCAGGGAGGAGATGAACCAGTCTGGGTACATCATAGTACTGATGAAACAGACAATGTTCCTCTAGTTCTTTAATGCTCCATGCTCCCTCCCCACTATCATGATCCGAACTCTACCTTGCAAGTCTGGCTAGACCAGAGGATATACACTTATGTCCTATATGATTTTTACTTCTTGATTTCCCTTAACATATATCTCCCCCCCCCCCCCACACCGACACCCAGCCGCCACCACCACTATCACAACATCATTCTACCCTACAAATCTGGCTAGATCAGCGCATATACATACACAGAGAAGAGCTGGAAGCACAGGAAATCCAGGACAGATAAACCCCTCAGAACCAATCTTGAGAGTAGCCATACCAGGAGGGTAAGGAGAAGGTGGGTGGAGAAAGGGGGAACCAGTCACAATGATCTAACTATAACCCTCTCCCTTGGGGATGGACAACAGAAAAGTGG